ATCACGGGAAAGTGTTAGATAAAGCATTAAAGGCAGCTACAAATATTTAGGCTTGTTAATTAATATAGCAACATGAGAAAATTAATTTTCTGACTCTTTTTTTTCTAATTTGGAACTATTTATATATTATTTTTACCAAGTGAAACATGCCTGGGTTTATTAATATGATAAATGTGGGGCTGGGCGCAGTGGCTCATGCCTGTAATCCTAGCTCTCTGGGAGGCCGAGGCGGGCAGATTGTTTGAGCTCAGGAGTTCGAAACCAGCCTGAGCAAGAGCGAGACCCCGTCTCTACTAAAAATAGAAAGAAATTAATTAGACAAGTAAAAATATATACCAAAAAAAAAAAACTAGCCGGGCATGGTGGCGCATGCCTGTAGTCCCAGCTACTCAGGAGGCTGAGGCAGGAGGATGGCTTGAGCCCAGGAGTTTGAGGTTGCTGTGAGCTAAGATGACGCCACAGCTCTCTAGCCCAGGCAACACAGTGAGACTCTGTCTCAAAAAAAAAAAAAAAAAATATGATAAATGTGGGAAAGTTGATGATTGTGAACTTGAAAACCCCAAATTTTCATAGAAACTTTCAAAAGCTTAAAAGTAGTTCGGTGATAATTTTCTATAACCACCTCACTTCATAGATGAAAAACTTAGGGGGAGCAGCGTTAATGACTTGCTAGAATGACAGAAATGCTATGTGTGCAATCCTTGGCATCTTGTGCATATCTCTATGGGAGCCGGTATTACACAGTACTGTTGTTTGATTTCTTCCCTTATTGCCTCCCTCTCTTTACTTCTTTAAACAAATAGTCTATTTACTGAGCATCTTTGATGTGCCAGAGTTTGTGGATGTGGGGCCAGTGAGCCAAGAGTCACTGCCCTCGTAGAGCTAATGTTCATGTTGGGAATACAGGCCAGAAACCAATAGAAGTGTTCCAATAAATAGGTGGTAATAAATGCTGTGAATAAAACTAAAGCAGGAAAAGGAGATAGAGAGTGATGAGGTGCTATTTTAGATTGTTAGATTGAGTGATCAGGGAAGTCCTCTCTGAAGAGATGAATTTTGAGCAGAGACCTGAATGAAGTGACGGATACAAGTCATGAATATCTGGGGGAAGAACGTTCCAGGCAAAAGGAATAGCAAATGTATTTGAGATGGGAATATGTGTTACCTCTTCAGAAACAGCAGGGAGGCCAAGGTGGCTGGAAAGCAGCGAGAGATGGAAAGAATGATATGAAACGAAATAGGAGAGGTAGCCAAGGGCCACATCGTGTAGGGTTTTGCAGGACTTTGGATTTTATTCTGAGAGTGATGGGAAGCCTTTGGAAAGTTGGGAATAGAGAAGAAATGTGGATATGGAAATAGAGTACGGAGGCTAGAGCAAACGGGAAATCAAGTTGGAGGCTATTGCAGTAGTGCAGGCAAGAAGTGGTAGTGAAAGACAAGGAGAGAAGTGGCTGGATCACAAGTGTATAACTTCTTAGGAGCAGGGACACATGTGATTCATCCTTCACCCCAAGGCTTGCTTCAGGGCCTGCTACTTAATGGGTACCCGTTAATTGTGTTGAATGGATAAAGTAAATGCAGATTTCTTGTTTCTTTTCCATATGCTAGGCTGCCATTGAAAGATTTTGCAAGAGGTCTTCATAATGATGCAATCTTAACATCACTGGCCATGGACCACTATAGTACTTTTTAACCTGGGCCAGTCTGCTTCTATTGTTTATAGGTTCATCCGAAACCAGCTAATATTTAGCAAAAGAGGCTAAAATTTTCTAGAGAAGACAATGGCTCGGATAACTAAATAGGAAAACACCCACTTTACAAGCTCAGGTTTTAAAGTAGTAAGCCCTTACATTTAAATAACATTTTTATTTTATAGCATACATGTACATATTCAAGCCAGTCTCTGAAGAAATTATTAATGCTTTTCCCATTTTATACGGTGAGACTCAGAAGTTAAGTAATTTGTTTATAATCACACAGCCAGCAAATAGCACATTCCCAAAACCAAATATTACATCTCCAGATCCTTTATTCTCTCTACCATGCTTACTAATTTGGTTACCAAACAACTGTCTGTTAAATATATCATGTACTGTGATAGATAATGGGGATGCTGACAAAATAAGAGCCCAATGCTGACCTTGTAGGCGCTTACAGTCTAATGGAGGAATCAGATAAGAAAACCAAATATTTTAATAAGGTGTGATAAATGCATAATAGAACTAAGCACAGGGTGTATTTTGGTTTTGTTTAAACAATTACTAACATATAAGGTAAAATGAATATTTTCCCCAGTATTCTAGCAGCTACTTGAGTGTGCATTCTATGTTTTCCTATTTTGGAAAATGGACTTGAATTAAAATGGCATGGCAATGTAATAAATTTATTGTTAATTATCGATAGACATAAAAGTCTATACAGTGTCTTCCGAAATCCATAAGATGTCTTCCATACCTTCAGAGTTCCAGCCTTCTCGATGTTCTTTTTCAGTTCAAAATGGTTGCATTTATTTTAGGATAACTTAGGTGTTCATTCTGCCTTTGTAATGGGACTAGGCTTGATAGTGTTTTTGGTTAAAGAATATGTATAGGAAGATAGGATTTGGTTCCAAGGAATGCCAAAAGTTTAGGATTACTCATTTTGGTCAGCTCTTATGTTGGGATGCATGTTATGATAAAATCAGAAATAATTATAATACCACATTGACAGGAGGAAAGAGTGGAACTACGATGAACCTCTGAATTAAAAGATAAATTGTTCTTTCTTTTGTGGTCTTTTCTTGCTTATTTCTTATTTTTAAAATACGTGTTTGAACAAGTGAGAAAGTATACCTGTCAAAAGACTAACCATCTGAGAACCATTGTCAGCATTAATTTTTCTTTAATAAATGACTCTCTGAAGCTATTTAGCAATCTGTAATCTAGATACAAAGCTATTGATCTGTGATGAATAGTGCTAGATTTGTTTGTAAGCTTTGACTTCAATTGTCTACTTAATTTCTCTAGGTCAGATCAACAGGATTAGAAGGAAGGGTGGTTATATGGTTTGAATAAAAATAGCCATAGGAATTGAGCAAAATAATTATAAAACATTAATGGCTCCCATTTTGGTGAAATAAATTGGAAATTAACAAAATGACAGTCACCTAAACGCTAACATTATCAGAATGTTCAAATGACATAGATTGGCTAATTGAAAACATTTTTTATAATTGGGTTTTTATATATAATGCATTCCAAAGTGTGTCTGAAGATATTATGAAATAATGTAATTTAACCATATGTGTGAGCATCTCAGTCTTTCAGAACATGTGGACGCTCACTTTTCCAAGAATGTTTAGCTAACAGAATCCTGACTTCTTTTGCTTTTAATAATTGGTTTATAATAGTATGAATCATAAAATAGAAAGCTGCTTGATTTGGCAATTGCAAAATATGCACAATTTGAATGAAAGGGATCTTTTCATTTGGGCTTTCTTTAATGTATAAAAGCTGTATTTCATTGAAAACATTAAATTCAAAAGCAGGTCATTACTTGCAACTATCTATTCTTTTTTATTTATTTATTTACTTACTTATTTACTTATTTATTTACTTACCTATTACTTACTTACAAGATCTCGCTCTGTCACCCAGGCTGGAGTCGAGTGGCCTCATCATAGCTCACTGCAGCCTTGAACTCCTGGGCTCAAGTGATTCTCCTGCCTCAGCCTCCTGAGTAGCTGGGACTACAGGCGCACACCACCATATCCAGCTAATTTTTCTGTTTTTTGTAGACCAGGTCTTGCTCTTGCTCTGGCTGGTCTCGAACTCCTGGCCTCAAGCGATTTTTCTGCCTTGGCCTCCCAAAGTGCTGGGATTACAGGCATGAGCCGCTGTGCCCAGCCTGCAGCTGTCTATTCTAATGGCCAGGTTTGATAAAGAAACCTTACAGAACCTTAGTACAGAAAATTATAGTTTCTTTATCCCTAGCTGTACTGTAAAATAAGTTGTAAAGGCAAAAATTGTACTAACATAGCTCTTTCACATACTTTCCTGGGAAGTTTTGAACAACAAAAACCCTAACTTGAAAATTGTGAATTAAGATTTCTCTGATTACTGAAATCAGTAATAATACTTTTGGTTTTATTTTATAGTTAATAAAACTTTAGATGAATGAAGCTTCTCCCTCCCTTTTTAGGACAAGTCCAGGCCATGTTTTCTGTGCTAAATTAGAAGTTGTTTCTCCAATCATTTGAATCAAGGAACATGCATTAAGCCTCTGTTAAAAGCTACTCAGGAGTAGCCAAACCAATGTGTATTTCTTCTTCTTGCTCATACCACTAGAAATAAATTGCCCAAAATATGTATAGCAGAAAGGAAAAGAAAAATCAAATAGTATTGGAAAGTGCACATGAGAATAATCAGTCTAAATAAGCAATAGTTTTCTTTACCTTAAAAACAAGAATCTTACCATCTGAAATGCCTACTTGTTTATGTGACAAAGAGCCAGGTTTCTCTTTTTGTGGATCTCATCTGTAGATACTATTCGGAGAGTGAGCCAATGAGCCAGAGACTCCCAAATCCCAATTCAGGCAGCAGACCCCTCTGGCTGCTCCTGTGCTGATCAGGGCCCAGGAAACGTTTTTGTATATTTTCTATTATATAAAACATTATATTTTGTATTACTGAATAGGTTTCTTAGAATAATACATACACGGGAATAATAAAATTTAATTTCAGATTCCCCTATTTGCCATGATTGTGCCAAAATGATTAAGGTGAATTGAGAATGAGAGTACAACTGAATATGTACGTCCCTTTTGGTTTGTGATTAACATGAATAATACTTGATTACTGAAATATTTCTTTACAGATTTAGAGTGTCTTACACATGCCTGGCATTAATAAAATTTGATGATTTCATTTGGTTTGGGAATTTTCTCTAATTGTATTATCTATTTAAATATTTTCTTAAAATGTATACTTTTGTTTCTATCTCTTTACCTCCAAATGATTCAGGTGTAGGAGCAGCTCGGTCGGGGAACCTCACATTTATGGTGGGAGGAGTCGAAGATGAATTTGCTGCTGCCCAAGAGTTGCTGGGGTGCATGGGCTCCAGTGTGGTATATTGTGGAGCTGTTGGGACTGGGCAGGTAACATTTTCACATTAATGACCTTGACTCAATATAAAATTGTCTAAAGTTCCTTTCTCTTTCCTGACCACATTCTTATTCTTCTTTATTCTCTTCAATCTATGGATTCTCTCTTTGCTCAGATTTTTTTAAATTTGAAATAAAGTAGTTTTGCATCATTCCTGGTAGACTTAAGCAGATGTCAGCCAATTTACTTATTTAAAAAAAGATATCAAAAGTACGATTATTAGGATCTTAACATCCCAGTGACTACTGAAATCATCCTTAAAACTGCTTCCATTTGAAGTATACATGTCGTCTGAGCTGCTATTATCCTCCATCTAAGTTTGTAATTATGGTTGACCATTGAACAACACTGGTTTGAACTGTGTGGATCCACTGAACTGTTTTCAGTAAATTTATTGGAAAATTTTTTGGAGATATATGGAAATTTGAAAAAACTTGCAGACAAACCATGGGGCCTAGAAATATAAAAAAATAAGAAAAATTTATGAATTAAAATGTTAATTTATGAATGCATAAAATATAGATGCTAGTCTGTTTTGTCACTACCTTAAAATATTAACAAAGCTATTAATTTATCAAAACTTATGAACACAGAGATAATACATGGCACCATTTGCAGTCAAGAGAAATGTAAACAAATGTAAGGATGCTGTATTAAATGACTGTATAAAATTAACTGAAGTACATACTGTATTGCTATAATAATTTTGTAGCCACCTCCTGTTCCTATTGCAGTCAGCTCAAGTGTTGCCAGTATCCACTTAAAAGGTAGCGTGACATGATGCTAATTATCTCTGTGTGAACAGTTCATCTCTCCAGTAAATTACATATCTCAGTAAAAATTGACCTTTTTGTTCTTGTGTATTTTTCATCGTATTTAGTGCAATACCATAAACCTCGAATAACACCATGGAATCCATACAAAGTGCCACTAGTAGTGCTGGAAGTGCTCCCAAGAAGTAGAGAAAAGTCAGGACATTATAAGAAAAAGTTGATTTGCTTGATATGTACTGTAGATTGAGGTCTGCGGCTGTGGTTGCCCACCATTTCAAGATGAATGAGTACAGTGTAAGCATCATTGCAAGAAAAAAAATAAAGAAGAAGAAGAATCATGAAGTCGTCACTGCAGCTACTCCAGCAGGTGTGAAAACCTTGCACTTTTTGCAAAATACCTTTTTGTCTTGTATTGAAAATGCAGCTTTTATGTGGGTGCAGGATTGCTGTAAGAAAGGCATACCTATATCTAATATGATTCAAGAAAAAGTGAAGGCATTATATGACAACTTAAAGCAAAAAGAAGATGAAGAATCTAAAGCTGGAGAATTTAATGTCAGCAAAGGATGGTTTGATAATTTTAGAAAGAGGTTTGGCTTTTTAAATAGTCGAGATAATAGGAGAAGCAGCTGCTGCTGACTGTCAACCAAGAGGCAGCAGACAAGTTGCTCATTGCCATTAAGAAAATCATTGAGGAGAAAGAATATCTGCCTAAACAGGTTTTTAATGCAGACAAAAGTGCCCTATTCTGGAAAAAAATGCCTAAAGGACATTTATTAGGAAAAAGACTGAGTCCCAGGGCTAAAGGCAGGAAAGGATAGGCTAACTCTGCTGTTTTGTACAAATGCAGTCAGGATTATGGTCAAGACTGCTCTTACCTATAAAGCAGCTAACCCCAAGCCTTGAAAGGAAAAGATAATCACCAGCTGCTAGTTTTTTGGTTGTACAAAAAGAAGGCCTGGACAATGAGAACGCTTTTCTGGATTAGTTCCATCGATGTATTGTCCCTAAAGTCAGGAAGCACCTTGCCAGTAAGAGACTTTCTTTTAAAGTTCTCTCAATATTGGACAGTGCACCTGGTCAACCCAGAGCCCCATGAGTTCAACACTGAAGGAGTCAAAGTGGTCTTCTTGCCCCTAAACACAACATGTCTAATTCAGCCTTTAGATCAGGGGGTCATAAGGACCTTTAAGGCTCATTACACGTGGTACTCTATGGAAAGCATTATGAATGTTCAGGAAGAGAACCATGATAGAACATCTTGAAAGTCTGGAAGGATTACACCATCACTGTTATAGAAAAAGCTGTGAAAGTCATCAAGCCCAAAACAATAAATTCCTGCTGGAGAAAACTATGTCCAGATGTTGTGCATGACTTCACAGGATTTGTGACACAGCCAATCAAAGAAATCACGAAAGAGGTTGTGGATGTAACAAAAAAGGTGAGGGTGAAGGGTTGCAAAATATGGATTTTGGAGAAATTCAAGAACTAAAAGACACTACGCCAGAGGAATTAACAGAAGGTAACTTGATGGAGATATAAGTGCTAAGATGTAGAAGCAGCAGTGCCAGAAAACGAATTGACATCAATCTTGCAGAAGGATTCTGATTATTTGGGACTGCTTTGGACTTCTTTTACGATGTGGACCCTTCTACGATATGAAACTACGGCAAATGGTGAAACAAGAATTGATATCATATAGACACTTTTTTAGAGAAATAAGAAAGCAAAAATATCAGGCACAAATTACTATATGTTTCCATTAAGTCACACCGAGTGTGCCTGCCTCTCCTGCCTCACCTTCCACCTCTTCCACCTCTGCCACCCCTGAAACAGCAAGACCAATCCTCCTTTCTGTCATCTTCCTCAGCCTACTCAACGTGAAGACATTAAGAATGAAGACTTTTATGATGGTCCACTTCCACTTAATGAGTAGTAAATATATTTTCTCTTACGATTTTCTTAATAACGTTTTCTTTTCTCTGCTTACTGTATTGTAAGAATATAGTATATAATACATATAACATATAAAATATGTGTTAATTGACTGTTTATGCTAACAGTAAGGCTTCCAGTCAACAATGGACTATTAGTTTTTGAAGAGTCAAAAGTTATACATGGATTTTTAACTGCAGGGGGTTGGTAACCCTACTCCCCTCATTGTTCAAGGGTCAACTGTATTTCCTATAGCTCTGTTTGTAGTACAGTCATGTAGAAGACTTTAATCTTTTTCTTGAAAAGCAAATAATTTTCATTTAGAAGTATCAGGTGATTGACAGTGGTGATCGACAATACTGAACTCTGAAGTCAAACTAGTTGTCTGCCACTCTCAACACACACTCACACTCCCTTATTCCTCCTCTTAATGCTTTTATCCTAGTCACTAGGACCCTGTTTATCTCACTCAAGACTTGGCATTATCTTGGATATATTTATTACCTCTATACTCTTGTCCAGTCAGTCTCCAGGCTCTGTTGATTTTTGCTTCAGTGACTCTCATTGTTGGCCATCATGTCCGTTCCACACATTACCTGGTCCAATTCCTTCTTTCATTATCTTATGCCTACTTTACTGCTCAAAGGGCCTAATGGGTCTCTGTATGCCAAATTGACCGCTGTGCTCAACACTATAACCCAAACCAACTCCATCCAGATGCTTGTATCATCATGGTACTTAACCCATTCTGAAACTTGGAGTAGATCCCTATTTCCTACCATGTCAAATTGTAACTCTCCACCCTAGCTTTCATAGCTCTTAACTAGCTCTGGACCCAATCTTAACTATCAAGTTTGTCACCATTGCTTAAAACATAACGCATATGAGCCCATTTTTTAAAATTTATTAAAAAAAGGAAACTATTTCTTACAGTTATGGAGGCTGAGAAGTCCAAGGTTGAGGGGTCACATCTGGTCAAAGCCCTCTTGCTGGTGGGGACTCTGTGCAGAGTCCGAAGGAGGTGCAGGGTATTACATGACAAGGGCCTGAGCATCGTGAGTCAGTTTTCCATACCGTTCCCAGGAATATCCCATGCTCTTACGTATTTAATCCTTCTTATATTTTTTACCTTTCCCCAGTCTGTTCTGCTCTCTTTCTTGTGTGCTTAAATTCTGCCTTGGCCTCTAAGAGATGGTTTCAGGTTCTACTTCCTCTCTGCTCCTGCCTTCAGTGATCTTGTTTCTCTGAACTCCTACTGTCTTTATCTTTTAGCCTCTCCCATACAACTTACCACTTACTTGTTTTTGTTTGTTGCCTTTCAGTGTAACATATTACTACCATTTTCCAATCCCTTAAAGACCAGTCATGTCCTATAGTGCTGAGCCCATAGTAGGAGCTCAGTCACCACTGTGGGTTTATTACCTAGTGGAAGGGACCCCAAGTCTGCTCTGGGTAGCATGTTAGGCTCAGAGGGAGGCATGCTGCACCACGTTCCCTTCCCCTCCTGAGAGAATCAACAGTTAAATGCTATTTCTTTTAGAAAGAAGAATATATGGAATTTGGTGGGGAAAAACTTCCTGTGAGTTATAGCTTGAAAGTAAAGATATTTAATATGTATTTAATTTATTTTCAGGCTGCAAAGATCTGCAACAACATGCTGTTAGCTATTAGTATGATTGGAACCGCTGAGGCTATGAATCTTGGAATCAGGTTTGTTAAATAGTACATTTTCATATACTAACAATTTTTATGGGCTTTCTTATTTGATTTTCTGATGTTAAAAAAATGAAGTTCATGAGAGATAAATGAGTTGATCCAGGAACATTTCGAAAGTACTTCATTATTGAACTTTAATAGACTTTGCTTATTGGATGAGCAATAGGACCCTGGAGAGCATGAATACTCTTTGCCATAGCCATAAAATCTATTGCCTGTGCATTTGAAGTTATATTATCCTTTTTATATGGGAGCCCCCTTTATTCTGTTATGTTGAATGAGATGCAAGAAACACTTTTACTATAAAATTTAAACATACTTTGGCAGTGTTGGAACAAATTTGTATAAAACACAATTTTAATGTATAGTAAATTCAAGTGTTAGGCTACCATGTGACTATTAAGTACCTATTTTAAATATAGTCCTCAAAATCTGCACTAAAAGTGTTCTTGGTGGTTCATTCTGAGTATAAAAATTGGATAGCGTTTGTAAAGCTGCAATTCATATACATAGCTCTTCCTTTTTAATCTGCCTGTGGTTTGCAATAGGATATATCTTTCTATTAAAATAAAATGGCATTCATACTTTGCTTAAAGTGATTCAGGAATTCTGCTTTTCCTATAGATGATCATCCTTTAGAATGCTTAAGGTTAATGTCTTAATTTTAGCCTTTAATCTTTTGGGTTAGGAATGCTACATATGATTAATCACCTAATTAATTTTTTGAATGTTTTATATTTCATGAAAATATTAAATATATATATTTCTCACTTTAGAAAATACTTAATGAGCAAGATGCTTTATTCAGATGCTTTCTTCACATTTCCCAAAACTGCTTACCAGATACATCACAAAAGAGAGTAGTGTTTCATATCTCAGCTTTTGATAAAAGTAATGAAAAGAGCTGAAGTGCTTGAGATAGTTTTTAAAACATGGTAATGGATTCACATTTCCTCTTAATTACCATATCAAGATACTGTTGTTTTATTGAATTGCCCTTGTCTCAGATGTTAAACTATCTTGACCTATTAAATTGTCATGTTGTAATTGAGATAAAAGAGGAATTTGTTTTGCATCAGCGCTAATTGGTTTATCAATATCTTGTACCATTTACATTTTAAAATTGAATGTCTATAAGATGGTAAGGCATATCTGTACAAAGCCTTAATAAAATAGGTGGTATATAGGGAGATTTTCAGTCTTATGTCTGTACCGTGGCCAGTTTTAGGCTATGGGTCGCTTATAATTGAAAAACTGGTTACTAGTAACTTGTTTTCACGTTCATTCTCTAGACTACTTTCATAGAAGGGGAAAATGTAAACTTCTGGAATCCAAATTACATATAAAATTAATTGGTGTTGACAACAGAATTAGTATGCATATGCATCTTTAGAATTTCATTTTTATTTTTCTGGATAGAAATGAATATGTCATAAAAAGTAAAAGCATAAATGAACCAAGGTGATTCTATAGTAAAATATACCCCCTTATGTTTGCCAGTTTATTCTGTTCTCTACTCTTACCTTGAACATCACTGTATCAGCGTGTTCCTTAGGCATAGTGATGCAGCCTCTGGCATTTCTTAAATGATTTTCCTGTCAAAACTCTTATTAGATGATCATTTGCCCTTCTAAAATGAAGTTTTGTTTAGGGTAAGTGCTTGTGAAAATTCTACTCCAAACAGCAGCTAATGAAGAATAGTAGGCAAATCAAAGGAATAAAATTTGTACAACGAAGTGAAAACCACTGTCTACTCTAATGGGTTTGTTTTCAAGGAGAAAATGAAAAGTGATAAAATTCCCAATAGAGACGTTAAGAGCAAGAGTAATAAATAGAATTCCCCTTATTTTGGCCATGATCCACTATGACAAAATGATATTTGGAAATATGGAGCTTTTAAATGTTTAAGTTCTCTAGAACTGTACATATGTACTGATATATATAATATAAAATATATTTTAAAAGTCTGAATGCAGGCAGAAACTCACTAGTTTTACTTAAGTGTTAAAATGGTTTATAAGTTCCTAATGTTTCAGATTGTCCTAATGAATTGCTTATTTTCATAACATTAGGATTTTATCGCTTTATCTTACCAAGATTCTCAGTGGTCTGAAAGCCCTAAAAATGAATGCTTCTGCTATTGTCTTTTCTCCATGGTTTACAGACATGGTTTAAAATGACAGGATTGTTCTCTAATAGAGTATAGAGAACGGCCACGATTTATTGAGCTTTGCAAGGTGCAAGAGAAAATTGGCATCAGCAAGCATAAATTCCCAAGTAGTAAATTCCTGCAAAGTCATATAGCATCAAAGTGATTTAGCCGCATTTATATTCTGTTCACTCTGAAGTGAAATTTTTTCAGAGTATTAATGTCAACATTTACAAATTGAGTCACCTATTCCTATGAAGTGATCATTTCTGATTAATTTTATTCTCATAAGTCTGGTTTTTCTGGAACACAGTTTCCCTTTTTTTTTTTTTAAATGGAAGAATAACATCTTACAGTTTAAAATTCTTACTGACCCTATGCTCTTTTATAGTGAGTCTTTATGGATGTTAGTGAAATTTTTAAATGTTGTAAGAAAGTAAAGAGTAAAAAAATATTGGTATACAATATATTTTGAGATTCTTTTTTATTAGACCTTTCTACTTTCTAATTGGGTTTCTACTTAGGCCTTACAAGCATGGTTTTATGGCCCTGAAAGTACCCTACTTACATTTGTTCCTGTGTATCATGTAGAAACAACAATGATAATATGGGTTTTGTTATTTTGTTTTTATTTTTGCTCCACTGGGAATTGATTTTTTTAAAAAATACTATTGGTGTAAGAAGTTATTTGCATTACCAGTGAGGGAGGGCCCAGGCCCCTCCAGCAACTACCATATGTTGTCTTTCACCAAAAGAAGGTTAGCATTTGAACTTCTGGAAAGCTCTTCAAGATGAGAACTTCCCCACAAGCATATTTTAGTTTCTTGGTTGCTCCCTTTAGATGTTGTCTTTTCATTCACATGATGACTGAAGCCTCTTAGTTGTATACCCTAATAAATGTAATAAATCGCAAAAAGTTTGTGATAAAAGTTTGACCAAATTTATCTACTGATGAAGTGCCATCATATTGGCTAGTTGACTGTTAAGTTTACCACCCACATGACCCAGTGAGACTTGAGATTGTTAAAGTTTGGTTGTCTGTCTAGGTCTACATCCAAGCTGTGCTACAGACTTAAGCCTTTATCATTTATGAAATGACAAAAATAATAGTATCTATTTGCTGGGTTATGAAATCTTTTAAAACAGTTCCTGGCACATAATAGGTACTCAATATGTGATAATTACTGATATTTGTGGTTTTGGTGAGATGGTTTGTATTTGAATTGAATTATACCATAATGTTTTTTCTTCATAACACTTCTCACTGGCTGGCATTATTTATTTATTTGCCTATTGCCTGTCTTCCCACCGAGAATGTAAGCTCCATTGAAGGAGAATGGCTTTGTCTACTCATTGCTGTCTCCTAAGAACATGCCTGGCAGCTAGTAGACACTCCAGTGAAGATTTGTCAAATGAATGAGGAGAGGAGTGAGGGTGTGAGCAAGTGGCTAGGATAGGATAGGATAGGATATGGCACTTCTGCCTCAGGGAAAAGTTATCTGGGTGTGTCTTAACTAAGCCCTCCTGGCAGGCACAGCCTCCTCTTAGCTTCCTTATTGTTGTTTCCTTGGCTCCAGGCATCTGCACACAGCAGATCTGAGTAAACACTGGTGCAGGAGTGAATGATTGATTAAGATTGTCGTGGTTTCAGGTGTTTCATTTCCACGTCTGTTCTTGTGATACAAACATCCAAGTTTTGTGACATAGTTTGTTTTGTTCTTATGTAAAATCAGACAGTATATTTACAGAGAATATAAAGTGAACAAACTTTTTTGGCCCTTAAAGCCTTGGTTATAGTGAAGGCAAATGTTTGGCTTCTCTTTAATTTTTTTACAGTTTATGCATCATTTTTGCTTCTCCCAAAAATTCATGTAAAATTAGAGGTGAGTAGACTTGACACAGTGACGTTTATTTGAGATGCATTATATATGCAGACAGAACAATGAATTCATTCTCTGTTTATATCAGAGAAGATTCCAGCAATTTTAAAGCCACATGCATGCACGCATGCACTCTCGAACCACATACAGTGGCAAGTTATTATGGGGACTGACAGACTGTCATCCTTTTGATGGCTTGAGCTGTATATCTCCTGAACAGCAATGGGGCTCTTATGCAGAAAGTATCATATGTTCCCAGCCAATTTACAGGGAAACAGCAATAACATTTTATCATGGTTGAGAGCCCAGTAGCTGCTTCCTATTAAACTTGCCCTTTCAGATACCTGTCTTGGATTAATTTGTTGATTTCGAATGGAAACTCAGTCTTCTCCAGTGAAGCATGACGTTCTAGGATAGACTCTCTGAATGACAATTACTTTGTATTCTAGCTGGTTTCAGACCATTACAAGCCTTGGGCACAGTGGAAGACAGAGGACTTCAGTAACTGATTTTAATATCATGTCTAATTTTAACTGTCAGTTATGTATGTGCCAGGGAAAGAATCTTCAGAAAGATGAAATGCAAAACACTTCTAACTTGCTCTTTTTAATGATACACTTTGGTGCAGGTGGGGGCAGTAGGAGGGAAGCGGAGAGGGAGTAGCCATCTCATGAAGGGAATCGGCACGGTGGGGAAGCATCAGATTTGAAAAGTGAGCACAGAACAACTGCCACCTGATTTTTTTGTGTGTCCCTCAGGATGCTTCTAAATAGTAATATGTTCACCGAAAAGGGTTTCCATCAATCAGTGCCAGTATTTTTCCTTGAACGTTAAAGAAAAATGTAGGGTTTTATAAAGTTAGGATAATAAGCTTTGCTTACCATTTTGGTGAGTATTATAGAAGAGAGTGTGAATTTTCTTAGCAGTAAAGACTTAGAAGCTAATGCTGAGCATAACCTGGTGGATTATAAAGAGGGGAGGAGCTCTGCTGCTTTAAATGGGATGAACCATCTTAAAAGAAAATCTAAATTAGGAAGGCCCTAAATGATATTGCAAATTGAGGGGAAAAGTGATGTTTTGGAGTTTCTAAAAATATTTTCTCCTTATGGAGCATATTTACACATGTATGTTCTTGAACATTTGTGCTTAGACAATATATTTGCAGTTACAGCAAATTATCTAATTGTTAATTTGCAATTTTACTTTTCACAATTATTCCCAAAGCACCTTGGCTTTATCTTTTCCTAAGTCATATGCCACAACAGCATACTGATAGCCTAATTTTATTTAAAAGGGAAATGAAAGCACCAGTAGCAAACTAAACATGCGAGAAACTTGGATCTTTATAAAAGAATGAATGAAACTGTTGGATTTCTCTCTGGTAATCCACAGTTGAACAGAATATATGATAGCTGATTTAGATTGAATCTTCTATATCTGTTATAATCCTTAGTAAACACCCATTATTATAACATGGGCCACCATATGAACTCAGATATGTGGCACACCACATAGCACTCTGAACCACAGACACCCCTGGGAAGCCTGATTACATAACAGTCGTATTACGTAGTAAGTTCATACATATCCTTGGCTGTTCACCCTAGCCCCCTGCTGTAGCATTGGAAAAATGTTTTATTGGTCATGATATTCAGATTTGGAAGCAAACAGACATATATTTTGAACATACAAAGTGAAGAAAAATTTAAACACGCCAAAATGCAGTTTAACAGTTACATCATGAATGTCTCTTTTCAATATTTTTCTATTTTCTGGAAGAGGTTAGTTTTAAGAAAAAGTAGAAAGCTTTTATGACAGTGGTTTTATAATGACTCTTTGTATGAAATAAACCAAATAAATTGCTAGGTTATACAGTTTCATTTGAAACTTGATTCACTGATACTTAGCAAAACTCTGCTTCCCAAACTGCATTATATCTTTAGAATCAAAGTAATGGAACATTTTGATTCTATTTCTCCTAGGGTCCACACTGAACAGCCGTTTATGCCATCAGCCCAGTGATAGAACAAATGATGTTTCCGCTTGGGCAAGCTTTGTTTTATCAGGATCAGTAACCTTATCAGCAGTTGACCCAGAACTATAATGCATGTCTCTGAATAGATAGCATATGTCACAGCTCTGTGCAGACTTGCTTCATAAGCAAGATTGTTTAATGAAGATTTAATAAATAAGGAAAAGTTTGCAGCAAGAAATGTTTTCTTTCATAATGATAATTTCTCTTAAGCTCCTTTACTACTCATGGCTCATCTCGTACATTTATTCTCATAAAAGCTCAAGGAATAAACATGCATATAAATGCACCCACACAGACTCCCGTGATGTATCGTTTATCTGTCAATATTTCTGTCTGAAATATATCATTTGTGAGTAAAGAATGTAGAATTTAGATTATCATTTTTGTTTAAGGTTCTTAGGTGACACATAAATGCAGTCATGTCCGAAAGACTAGAAAACTCATGAGTGTGATAAACCGACAATGCTATTGTACAATTATGTATTATTTCTTCTTAATAGTATGATAGTACAGAAGGTTTCCTCTAAATTTCTGGCTCAGAAATGTTCTTGTTTGATCAGTAGCTTTTAGTACCGTATAATTCAAGATTGGATTCTTCACTCTCATATCAATCTACTTTGATTTTAGAAGACATTAAATAAATGGAGAGAGAAGATGGAGCATCTCCATATGTAAATAAGTCACACATGACTTGTACATTTTGACATTTAACGCTTCTTTTCTTTGACCTTTGACAGGTTAGGGCTTGACCCAAAACTATTGGCTAAAATCCTAAATATGAGCTCAGGACGGTGTTGGTCAAGTGATACTTATAATCCTGTACCTGGAGTGATGGATGGAGTTCCCTCAGCTAATAATTATCAGGGTGGATTTGGAACAACACTCATGGCTAAGGTATGGTGAATGTAGAGACTAATCAAGGCGGGGAGAATGTTTAATGGTCTAATAACACTCTCTCTCTTTCTCTCCTTTTGCTCTTCCTCTCCCCTCTCCCCCTCCTTTACTCCCTCCTTTTAACAAAGCATTTGTCTATCCTAGAAGGAAAAATTACTGGAATAGTGATTTACTCTCTCACTGGAAATGAGTAAAAACTTAGATAAAAATCCTTATTTTGTTCATTTTTATTCCTGGCCTTTTGGATGAAAAGAATAAGCCAGGATTTTTGTTTTCGTGTGTGTTCTTGAGTTTGTTTATATGAGCTGGTAAAATTTTGTTCTTCATCATAAATTTATGTTAATTTACCAACTCCTTAGAATGCGAGCAGTAAGAATCTTCTGATTGTTGTTAATGCATTGACATTGCATATATACATCACAAAAGAAAAGAGGGTCTTTCCCATGATATTTGATTTTTAAGTACATGCTCTTGCTTTAACAGTATATATGGACTTATGTGTAAATTCATTAAGTCATTCGAAAAGCAAATTGTTGGCCTCTTCTCATTTGTGATCTCAACTTTAGAAAATCTGTGATCTCAACTGTAGAAAATACTTTTTAGACCAATAGGCTCTTGGATTTCTGCATAGTGCTTATTCCCCCCAGTTGAGTTTTTTCCCCTGCTTAGGAAAGTAAGACTATATACACCTGCTACAGGCATACCTCAGAGATATTATGGATTTGGTTCCAGACCACTGCAATAAAGGAAGTCACAAAAATTTTTGATTTCCCAGTATGTATAAAAGTTACATTTAAACTATACTGTTATTAAGTGTGCAATAGCATTATGTCTAAAAAAACAATGTACATACCTTAATTTAAAAATGCTTTATTGCTAAAAAATGCTAGCAACCATCTGAGCCTTCAGCAAGTCATATAATCTTTTTAGCTGATGGAAAGTCTTGGCTTCATGTTGATGGCTGCTGACTGGTCAGAGTGGTGGTTACTGAAGTTCAGAGTGGCTCTGGCAATTTCTTAAAAGTCAACAAAAATTAAATTTACCACATTGATTAACTCTTTGTTTCACAAAAGATTTCTCTGTAGCATGCGGTGCTGTTTGATGGCATTTTACCCACAGTAGAACATCTTTCAAAATTGAAGTCAATGCTCTCAAGCCCTGCCACTGCTGCTTTATCAACCAAGTTTACGTAATACTCTAAATCCTTTGTTGTCTGTCATTTCAACAATGTTCACAACATCTTTACCAGGAGTAGATTCCATCCCAAAAAACCACTTTCTTTGCTCGTCCATAAGCAGCAACTCCTCATCCTTTCAAGTTATATCATGAGACCGCAGCAGTCCAGTCACAACCTCAGCTCCACTCATTCTGCAGTTCCTTCCTCCACTGAAGTCTCGAACCCCTCAAAGTCATCAGTGAGGGTTAGAATCAACTTCTTCCACACTCCTGTTAACATTGATATTTTGACCTCCCACGAATCACGATGTTTTTAATAGCATCTAGAATGGTGAATTTTTTCCAGAAGGTTTTCAATTGACTTTGCCCCGATCCATCAGAGGAATCATTATCTATGGTAACTATAGCATTATGAAATGTATATCTTATTATAAGACTTGAAGTTGAAATTATTCCTTAATCCATGGGCTGCAAAATAGATGTTGTGTTAGCAGGCATGAAAATCACATTAAGCTCCTTGTACCTCTTCATCAGAGCTCTTGGGCAACCAGATACATTGTCCACGAGCAATAATATTTTGGGAGGAAACTTTTTTTCTGAGCAGTAAGTCTCAACAGTGGGCTTAAAATATTCAGTAAACCATGCTGTAAACAGATGTGCTGCCATCCAGGCTTTGTTGTTCCACTTAACACAGGCGGAGTAGATTTAGCATAATTCTTAAGGGCCCTGGGATTTTTGGAATGATACATAAATATTGGCTTCAACTTAAAGTCACCAACTGCATTAGTCCCTAACAAGAGAGTCAGCTTGTCCTTTGAATTTTTGAAGCCAAGCATTGACTTCTCCTCTCTAGCTATGAAAGTCCTAGATGGCATCTTCTACTATAAGGCTGTTTCATCTACATTGAAAATCTGTTGTTTAGTGTAGCCACCTTCATCAGTGATCTTAGCTAGCTATTATAGTAGATCTTCTGGATACCTTGCTGCGGCTTCTCCATCAGCACTTTCTGTTTCACCTTGTACTTTTATGTTAAACCTCTTGAACCAGCTTCTGCTAGCTTCCAACTTTTCTTCTTCAGCTTCCTTACCTCTCTCAGCCTTCATAGAAGTGAAGAGAGTTAGGGCCTTGCTCTGAATTAGGCTTTGGCTTAAGGGAATGTTGTGGCTGGTTTGGTCTTTCATCCAGACCACTTAAACTTTCTCCATAGCAGCAGTAAGGAAGGCTGCTTCGCTTTCTTATCATCGGGGTGTTCACTGAAGTAGCACTTTTAATTTCCTTCAAGAACTTTTCCTTTGCATTCACAGCTTGGTAACTGTATGGCACAAGAGGCCTTCCGGCCCATCTCGGCTCTCAGCATGCCTTCCTCATTAAGCTTAATCATTTCTCACTTTTGATTTAAAGTGAGAGAAGTGCGCCTCTTCCTTTCACTTGAACACTTAGAGGCCATTGTGGGTTATTAATTGGCCCAATTTCAATGTTGTTGTGTCTCAGGGAATAGGGAGGCCAGAGGAGAGGGAGAGAGACAGGGAATGGCCTGTCAGCGGAGCAGTTGGAACACACATAACATGTATCAATTAAGTTGACCACCTGATATGGGTGCAATATGTGGCACCCAAAACAATTCCAATAGTAACATCAAAGATCACTGATCACCGATCACCATAACAGATATAATAGTAATAAAAAATTTGAAATATTGTGAGAATTACCAAAATGTGACAGATAGATGAACTGAGCACTTGCTGTTGGAAAAATGGTGCTCATAGACTTGCTCAATGCAGGATTGCCACAAACCTTTAATTTGTAAAGGAAAAAAAGCCAAAAAACCCCACATACTTATCTGTGAAGTGCACTAAAACACGGTGTGCCTGCTCTTGGCTCACTCTCCCTCTTCCCCTGACGTTCATCCATTCTGCCTCTTGGATGCGCCTTGAATTCCTCCAGTTCCCCTTCTCCCCCACTGCCAGTACCGTGGCTGAGCCTCATTCATACTGTGTCACAGCAGCCCTCGCCTGGTCTGCGTGCCTTTCATCCCGATCGCCTCCAGTTCATTTTCCACACCACAGCAAGAGTGGGCTTTCTGAAATGTAAAAACCTGATCATGTCACTTCTCCCGTTAAGTTTCTTTGATCATTTCAGTTTCTTAGAGATGAAAGTCCATCTCTACAGCGTATCTTACAAGGCCCTTGGTTGGCCCTTGCTCGCCTCACCAGACTCGTTTCCCCTTCCCATCTCTTTGCCTTTGTCACGCTGAACCACATCTGTCTCTTGTTCTCGCTCACTTGCAAACCTTCATGTTTGCTGCCCTCTGCCAGGATCGGTCTTCTTGCCTCCCTGCCACCCCCATGCTTTCGCCTCGCTGACGCCCCCTGCTCTTCCACATCTGTGCATATCTGTTTCTTGCTCTGGAAGGCCTTCCCCAGTACCCCAGACTGCGCTTCCCTGACTCCCGTGATAGTATTAATATTTAACCTATCGAATTATAGAAATGCTTGCTTAACTGTCTTTCTTCCTCAGTAGACTGTGAGTTTGGGTGGGCTGCAGCTATCTTGTTTATCATTGTATCCCAGTTTCTGGCACTTTGTCAGCTCAACTTTAAATATTTATTGGATGAAGTAATGTGTGAAACCGTGTTTCCTATTTTGCAGTTTTATTTCCCCTCACGTTTCATTTAAGAAAAAATTTATTTTTTATGATGTCCATCTTACAGACTTCCACAGATTTTCCTGTAAACAAAACAAAATGAATAGGTCTTGTGGAGGGTGAGGGAGGGAGGGAGGGGATACTCGGAAAGCAGTTTCTGTCTAGAGCCATTTTGCAGCTGTATGAAAGCACTTGTTTGAAAATATATAATTTACCAGTGTGCTTATAAGCATCTTATCCTTTTCAGACTTCATTTCTCCTTCTTTGAAACCAAAGCATTAAGAACCACAGTTCCAAAGGGAGCCATTACTGCCAGTCTCAGTGTGTTCTCTCCTGCCTTTGTTTGATTTAGGATCTGGGATTGGCACAAGACTCTGCTACCAGCACAAAGAGTCCAATCCTTCTCGGCAGTCTGGCCCATCAAATCTACAGGATGATGTGTGCAAAGGGCTACTCAAAGAAAGACTTCTCATCTGTGTTCCAGTTTCTGCGAGAAGAGGAGACCTTTTGAGTGCACCCTTTGGCTGTGGACACTGTTAGGAGCCAAACTCTGTCTTGGCACCTCCTTCTAGCTCACTCTGCAAGTAAATGGATTTAATCAAAGGTCACCTGTCTGCTTTTGATTGTTTAGGTCACACTAGTCCCTAGGATTTTTCACCCATTTTTAACTGCTTATTCTTTTTGTCTTTTTAGCAAACATATATTATCTGAAAAAATTTTTCCTACAAGCCACTGATGGTCTCTGCTAACTAGCTGAATTGCCCTTAATTTTAAAAAGTTTGATCCCTGAGCATCTTCAGTTAAATTGTTGTATACGTCAATCAAGATATTATTTACTCTACCTTACAAATAAACCAAATATTTTGTCAACAGGATGAAACCCATCTTAAAGTAAAGAAAAGAATCAGTGTGAGGAGAAGAGAAGTATAGGGAATTATTACTTGTGTCCCTCAGGAAGTTTGTCCTGTTAACCGAGTGGTTACTGCATTACTGAGGTTACTGCTTTATTTTCTAGGGAGTTGGTAAAGCAAGAGAACCGTTGCTGCATGTTTATAATGTGGACTCAGTTACAGTATCTTAGTATATCCCCTACAACTCCCAACACTCAGCAGACTTGTTTTTATATTTTTTTGCTTCCTTGTATATTCTTACTACATATTTTTTGACTTCAAAAGAATGACATCTTTAGACCTGTTTCAGAGCCAATGATGATATTTGCTTTAGATAATTATTACATTATTCTAAATATAACCATATTATTTTGAATTCAAATAAATTTCTATGCTGATAATACTTTCTTGGTGTTTTTGTTTCTTCCCAATCGTTTGGTGAACAAACTAATGATCCAACAAGCTGGTGTTCAGACTAATGGGGAAAGAATAGAATGAAAGGGAAGGGAGGGGAGGTCCAAAGGAACCGAGCTCTGAGCCAGCCAGTGCAGGCCAGCGTTCTGCTGTTCTATCTGACTCCCTACTGGGCATCTGTGTGCCTGTTTTCCAGGTCATCAGTGCTATAGGAAGTCAGCCTGCGTTAACTGTAACATGCCCCAGTATGGGGCTCAGTTGCCACTTTTGCCACCTCAGCCTCTAGAAACATTCCAGGTGATAGACCTAGACACCAAATTTGGCAGAAGTACTACTACTTCCATCATTTTCCTGGTGATAAAAAATTGTGGGCACTAATATAAGTGCTTGGGATATAGTGATGGACAAGACAGACAAAGTTCTTGTCCCTGCAGAACATAGATTCTAGTGTGTGTGTGTGTGTGTGTGACAGACAGGAAATAAATATTTAATATATTTGTTAGATAATAACTAAAAAGAAAACGTAGGATAGGGGGGTGGATAGGGAGGGCCAGGGGTATTTTACTAGGGTGGTAAGGCAAGGTCTCTCTGAGAAGGTGACATTTGAGCAGAGATAATAAGGAAGTAAGGGAACAAACCGTGCAGATGTCTAAGGAAAGAACATTCCAGGCACAGGGAACAGAAAGTACAAAGGCCCTGAGGTAGGACAATGCTGGATATGAGGAATAACAAGGAGGCTATAAGCAAAGTGGCATGGGGTGAGGGCAGCCTGATCGTGTGGGGCCTTGTAGGCTGTGTTAGGACATTGGCTTTTTTTTTTTTTTTTTTGAGACAGAGTCTCACTGTGTTGCCTGGGCTAGAGTGCCGTGGCGTCAGCCTAGCTCACAGCAACCTCAAACTCCTGGGCTCAAGCGATCCTCCTGCCTCAGCCTCCCGAGTAGCTGGGACTACAGGCATGCGCCACCATGCCCGGCTAGTTTTTTCTATATATTTTTAGTTGTCCAATTAATTTCTTTCTATTTTTAGTAGAGACGGGGTCTCGCTCTTGCTCAGGCTGGTCTCGAACTCCTGAGCTCAAACAATCCGCCCGCCTCGGCCTCCCAGAGAGCTAGGGTTACAGGCGTGAGCCACCGCGCCTGGCCGACATTGGCTTTTATTCTGGGTGAAATGGGCAGTGTATCAATTAACTTTGCCTGGCTAACAACCTACCCTAAAATTTAGTGGCTTAAAACAACAAATATTATTTTTCACGATTCTATAGTTTGGCCACATTCTTCTGGACTGGGCCAGCTCATCTGGAGCTGAAGGGTCTAATTTGGCCTCACTCATCTGCAACAATGGGAATGGTTGAGGCTTCTTTCCACCTGGTTGCTGTCCTCCAGGCACCTCGCCCGAGTTTGTCACGTGGTAGTGGAAGTGTTCCCAGCAGCAGCACAGGACAGGCCCCAGCGAATAAGTGCTTTTCAAGCCTCTGCTTGCGTCACGTTTGTACTGTCACCTTGGCCACAGCAAGTGTCACAGCCAAGCCCAGAGTCAGCCCAGCGGGGAGTGTGGAACCTAGTGCATAAGAGTGTGGAGACACAGCCATCGTGGTGGCCTTTTTGCAAACCTACCACAGCCAGTGGCCTGTGAGGGATTTTGTTCAGAGGAATGATGGGATCCGACTTAAAGGGGAAACTCTGGATGCTGTGTGGAGAATAGCCTATAAGGGACAAGGCTTGGAAGCCCTGGCTCCAACCTGCCAGTTCGGAGGTGATAGTAATAATCCATTTGAGAGATGGTGGCGGCTGGGACCAAAATGTTGAAACGATGGAGAAGGCAAGAAAAGGTCAGATTCTGAACATAAAAGATAGAGCTGCTAACGGATGGGGTCATAGAGGGTGGAGTCGAGGATGATCCCAAGGCTGGTGGCCTGAGAGTGGAAGAAAGAAGTTGCTATTTACTATGTGAGGAAGATTGTGGGAGGAGGTTTTGGGGAGGAATGTAGGAAATTTAAGAGAAAAAAATCAGGAGTTTACTTGAGATACCTAGTAGACATCGAAGTAAAGAAGAACAAAGGTCCAAGGACCAAGCCCTGTGTTACTCTTCAGAGCAAGCGAATGAGACTGAGGAGGAATGACCAGTACAGTAGGAGGGAATTGGGAGCAGTGTCCTGGAATCCAAATGAAAACAGTGTTTTAAGGAGGGAATGATTAACTGATAAATTGAGTAACAGGGCTGAGAATTCATCATGGGAATTTGGCAAAATAGAGGTCGTTGGTGACTTTTTCAAGAGTTTTGCTGGAGTGTTGGAAATGAGAGCCTCATTGAGAATGAGAGAATGGGAGGAGAGGAATTGGGAACGGTTGCGTATGGAGACAACTCTTGAGGAGCTTCCCGGCAACGGGATAGACACTGGCAGGGAATATGGGGCCGAGAGAAGTTTTATTGTATTTTTAAGATGGGAAACATGGGATTATACTGATGGAAGTGGAATAATCCAATAAAGAGGGGGAAAGTAATGATAAGAGAGAGAGGACACTTACTAAGTGATACCTTTGAGTAGCTGAGAGGGAAGGGGTGTAAGTGTGTATGGATCTCTGAAAATTAAGAAACCAGCAAAACCAGATCACATGTCAGATGATCAGCATCTTACATGAAGGTTAGGATAGAATTGTAATTATGTAGTTTTCAACATAGAATAATAAATATTAGTTCTGGAAAGGACTTTACTGACTTCTAAGTATGACCTTGTGCAGGTCACTGTCCTCTCACCATTAGTTTTCTCATCCATGAAGTTGTCGTAAACAATTTAGCCTAATATTAAATGCTTTTTTGGAAACTTTAAAACAAACAATACGAGTTAAGGACAATCACGAGTGGTGTCCAGCCTATGGAGAAATTGGAACCCTCATACATTGCTTCTTGGAATATAAAACGGTGCAGCCACTTCCTCAAAAGGTTAAACTTGGAGTTAGCACATGATCCAGCAATTCCACTCCTACTTGTATACCCAAGAAAAAATACGTCCACACAAAAGCTTGTACATGATGTTCACAGAGCATTATTCATTATGGCTAAAAAGTGGAAACAACCCAAATATCCCTCAGCTGATGATTAATGAACAAATGGTGGTATATCCTCACAGTGGAAGATTATTTGACCATAAAAAGGAATGAAGTACTGACAGGTGCTACAACATGGATGGAGCTTGAAACATACCAAGTGAAAGACACCAGACACAAAAGGCCGCATGTCGTATGGTTCTATTTATATGAAATGTCAGTAATCGGCAAATCCATACAGACAAAGTAGATGTGTGGTTGCCAGGGACTGGGGAGAGGGGAAATGGAAAATGACTATTAATGGATAGAGAGGTTTTTTTTTAGGGGATGAAAATGTTCTGGAATTAGTGACGATGGTTGCACAACTTTGCAAATGTATTTAAAAACACCAAATTGTAGACTTTTAAATGGTGAATTCTATCTCTAGTTAAAAAAAAAAAGAAACCCTAAGGGAAAAAGTCGTGAGTTAAGATCTTTCTCTTTTGATAAGTGGTTCTCAAGTGGGGCAGTTTTGCCCACCAGGGGACATATGGCAATGGCTGAAGGCATTTTTGGTTGTCGCACTCTACTGGTATTTAGTGGGAAAGGCCAAGGATGCTGCTAAACATCCTACAATGCACCGAACAGCCCCCACAAGAATTATCCTGCCCAAAATGCCAATCGTGGAGTTCAAGAAGCCCTGCTCTAGGTGCATGTTCCGCAGGGATCTAAACTCAGCATATCAAAGCCTGAGCTCCCTGTTCTCCCCGCTTGACCTGCTTGTTCTCCTGGTCCTGTCCCATACAGGTTTCCAGGAACCATCCCTGACTCCCACTCCTCCACCCTCTCTCCAGAGCTAATTCTAAATCTATAGTTCCTATTACACGCCCTCACCCGTTCTTACCTGGGGCCCTTCAGTATCTTTGCAATTGCTCCTTTCTTTTTTCTTTCCCAACAGCTTTATTGAGGTACAGTTTACATACAATAAAATGTCTTTCTTTTATATAATTGAATGGATTTTAGTAAATTTAGAGTTGTACAACCATCACCACAATCCACTTTTAGAACTTTCCATCACCCCTGCAGAATCCCTTGGATCCATTTGTAGTGACTCCCTGTTCCCATTCCTCCCCACCCCCCCACCCTCAGCCCCAAGCAACCATTAATCTTTCTGTCTCTAGATTCAAAGCTGCTGCTTGGCCACCGACCTGGCTCTTTCCCAATTCATCCTTCACACTGCTGTAAGAGAGGTCTTTCTAAGACAAATTCAATCCTGTCATTCCCTTGCTTAGAATCCTTTAGCCTAGGATGCAGTCTAAACTCCCTGAGCATGGTGTTCAAGGCCCCTCCTGCCATGGGTCCTAGTTGACTTCACCAGCACTATTGACCACAGTGCTTGTCACCTCCCAAACCTGCCACATTTCTCATGCCTCAGTACCTTTGCACATGCTGTTTCTGCGTAGAAAATGTCTTTCATCTTCCCTTCTGGCGCCATTATCCTCTGAAAAGCCTTCCTTAGCTACTTCAGACTGAGTTTTCCCCTGTTTTCATAGCTCCTTTTTTTTTCTTGTTTAATTTTTTTTTTTTTTTTGAGACAGAGTCTGGCTCTGTTGCTCGGACTAGAGTGCCGTGGCGTCAGCCTAGCTCACAGCAACCTCAAACTCCTGGGCTCAAGCGATCCTTCTGCCTCAGCCTCCCAAGTAGCTGGGACTACCGGCATGTGCCACCATGCCCGGCTAATTTTTTCTATATATACGTATTTTTTTAGTTGTCCAGATCATTTCTATTTTTTTTTTTTTTTTTTTTTTTTAGTAGAGACGGCGTCTCGCTCTTACTCAGGCTGGTCTCAAACTCCTGACCTTGAGCAATCCACCGGCCTCGGCCTCCCAGAGTGCTAGGATTATAGGCGAGAGCCACCGCGCCCGGCCCCCATAGCTCCTTTTTGATACTGTTCTTTTTG